CGTATAAAATAAGGTCCTAAACAGACTAGACGAATAAACAATGAATTCTCAATTCATTGTTTATTCGTCTAGTCTGTTTGATCTCACAAAAGAAACTATCTGACATCGACACTCGCAAGTATATAAGCAATTATACGGCTGAGTGTGCATCATACGTGATCTATTGTGTTAAACTGGTTAGATCAATTACAACTTGTATTACAACTGAATTGATTTAATGTTTTTTTCAATAAATTAATACATAACTAAATTATGAAATTTAAAAAAAAATTCAAGTCAATGACTTGAGACTTGACTTGGTTAGAACACAGACTTGACTTGACTTGACTTGCAATGGCGTATCTCAAATTGATGACTTGACTTGACTTGACTTAAAGATATTTTTTTTTGAGCAATTACTTGACTTGACTTGACTTGACTCTCTTTGACAAATGACTTGACTTGACTTGAGTGAAAAAATAGCTGACTTGCCCATCTCTGGATCTTGCCTTTCTGACAAGATTCGTGTAGACCGAATCTTGGCTGGTGAGGCAAGAAGTTCTTCTCCAGACAAGATTCTTGTATTCTTGCTTTTCTTGAATTCTTGTCTGATTCTTATTTTTCTTGATGTACTTGCCTGATTCTTTTTTTCTTAAATTCTTGTCTGTTTCTTATTTCTTGTGTTTTGTGCCTAATTCTGGTCACATTAAAAAGCCTTTTGTAGGTTATTATTACTCTTTTTTCATATCGTTTTATTATAAGCTTTGCACACTATGTACAACAAATGTAAAAAAAAAACAAAAAAATACTTTTAATTTCACATGTTGTTAAAGCAGTTTCAGTTTTTAATACAAAAAAAAAAAACAAAATTTTAATTATCAAAAAAAATACTTATTTTTTCAAACTTCATCATCGTTGTGTGTTGAGCTAGCTCGATTAAAATAAGTTATTTACAATTTGTTCAACTAGTAAATGATGTAGAGATAATTGAGTACGATGATGTTGATCTTTTTTCTTAGCACACCATCGACGTTGTTTATCTGTATGTGGTGATGACTAAAAAAGATAGTATTTTAATCAAAAAGATATAAAGTGCATATAGATATTACCTATACTACCAAGAACATTATCAAACAATAATTTTTTGATGAAATCAATATTTCCTTCGTCCATTAAAAAAACACTTTTGTGGATAATGAAAGAAAATCTAAAAAAAATAAAATAGAAAGATGTGGATTGGTAAAATATCGAAATGTGTTTAATAAGTGTAAGTTTTCTGAAAACAATGGAAAAAAAGATATCATATATTCCACTGTTTTCTCGATATCGAATGGAAACTTTTTCTATACATCCAATTGAAATAATGAATAAATAACGTTCAGACATTGCCTTTATATATTTGATCATACAAAGACGACATCACGTGCTGTTGATCTTGAAAAGCTGGCAAGAATCTTTTTCTTTTCTATCATAAGAATCTTGTCTGAACGTTAAATATATCTTGAATATCTTATAATTCTTGCCTGATTCTTTTATTTCTGATTAATCAGACGAGATTCTTGTCATCTTG